TTGATCTGTCCAGGTGGCAGGCAATGGACTGGATTTTGGAGAATCTAATGGGTTCGCAGGATGTGGCCTTCGGATATCTTAAACAATTGAATTAAACATGAATTTAACAACTTTGTATCTTATATATGTTGATCATTTCTAAATTCCAAATCCATATTCCATTCAACGCAAATTCCATTGACTTTGATGAATTATACGTTACATTAACATTACTTGAAAAAACAAAGGTAGTGGACTAATTGGTTTTGGAGTTTGCTGCTAACCTCATTAATCAGTATTCTATTCCTTAAAAGTGTATAATGCACATTAAAAGTGTATAATGCACAGAAGCTAATTTATATATAATATAGCTAATGACCTAAATAATTCAGTGTTCATTTTTTTATGGTAAAAGTAAGAAGTTTTAAATTCAAATTATATAGCATGCGAATAGGATGTGATAAAGGATAAGAGATGGTTGATTTCATTGTGCAATCAAGATAAAAAAAAAACAACAAACTTGTATATAATATAATCATTTTCTATACAAAAACATACTGTACATGAATAAGATCTGGGAAGGTTAATTAATCCCCCCCCAAAAAAAAAAAAAAAAGAATTCTTCCAATGCTTTTTCTGAACTGATGATGATCAGTATCACTCTCATCCAATCTCAGTCTTCTAGTGCATGGTAAGAAATAAAAAAGAAACAATTTTAATGTTGTAATAATGATAATTATCAGTTCAGAACGCGTATTACTAGTAGAATTTGGTGAAATTAAAAAGGAAAAAGGAAAAGAAGAATCCCTTATTGTCACCGCAATTCAATGATTTCATCTTCCTTGCATGCTCCCACATCAACTACAATGGTGTCTTGCTTCTCCGTCGGCAACACCCTGCAACAATTCCGCCGTGGAGCCTGCAGGCCAGAAAACAGGAAACTTCCAAGTTAAAACCTACATTATATAAAAATAATAAATCAGAAGAAACCACCAAAAAAACATATAATGCGAGTGTCTTACCCTCTCCCACACATGCGGGTCGGGTCTCTTGTAAACCTCCACTCTTTTAATCAGAGAAGGAACCGGAATGTTCCGTTTACAATCTGGGTTTGGAAACTGACTCCCGACATACTCACTGGCCGTCTTGTTCATCTTCGTGTCGAAGAACACATTAGAGATATAGTAGACGGACGGTTTGTCACAGACATGACGGCTGACTGGACGTGTATTGAATGAGTACCCCAACTTGTCGTTTTTTCTGTACCAGTGTAGAAAAGTTCTGGTCGGAATTTCCATTTCCCGGACAGAAACTATGCTACCGATGAGCTGGACGGCGTAGCCCCAGGACACCGACACCGTCCAGTTCCGGGTCTTGTCGTAGCACACGGTTTGTTGCATCAGACCCGCCGGGTCGAGGTTCATGGGCTTGGTTAGCAGCTGCAGGGCCCGTATTCGATCCAGCTGAGGGAAAATGGGCTCCACTATATCCAAATGGTGGAGAGATACTAAAGGTGCAATTGGGTGCGCCGTCAGAAGCCCAAATATATTGCCGTACACATCAAACTAATAAACAAAAAAAAACCCCATTACAAAATAAGCAATATAATAAACTTAGAATAGAATATATTACTAATTCTTTTTTTTTTTTTGAACAAAGGGAAATTTGGGAGAAAGAGGGAATAAGAGTTGTTATTGCAGTTTAAACTCTAGTCAAAATCAAGAATTAAGTGTATCTGAATCAAGGTAACCCAAATATATTACTAATTCTTAATTAAAAGAAAAATTTAAGGAGAAATAATTGTGAAACCCACCTAGTCTTTCGCATTTTTTTTCCTTTTATGATTAGGTACACCCGAAATAATTTTACTTTTGAATTTTAGGACAAGGGGTTTCATACAACCACCATACCATAATATAATAGTAGCCTATTATTGATCAATAAACAATTTAATACAGAATTAAAAGTAGGTTTATATGTCTATTCACACATGTTTGGATACACAAGAAAGGGATCCACTTTTTACTTTTAGAACTTAATTAGGGATGT